TTTAATAACTTTCTCTTCAAGGTGGATCATCTATTATGTATTTAAATGAGATCCATTGTATAAAACTAGGTATTTTCTCACTAATAATAGACGATCTATCAAGAAGATAATTAATATATATGTATATATTAAACAATAATACGCTCAACAAAAAAATAGTAATCTCAAACAGTAACACACTCAACAAAAAAAATAGTAATATCAAACAGTAACATGCTCAACAAAAAACTTAATTAAAAATTTAATCATTACAATAGCATGAATATTTATTTTGTTGTGGGGGGTGTTATTTTATTACAATGATTAAATTTTTATTGAACATATTATTATTTGATGTTACTATTTTTTTGTTGAGTATATTAATGTTTGATGTTACTATTTTTTTGTTGAGCGTGTTACTATTTGATGTTACTATTTGTTTATTGAGTGTGTTATTATTTAATATTACTATATATCTATATAATAAAATAATTTACAATTCAAATCTCAAAAGATAAACAAAATGATTTTTGTTATTAACAGTTGAGATCCCTTTAAATTTTACTTTAAAATTAATTTAACGGTTAATATTAATACCTTAAATTTAATAGGAAAAGTAGGTCACTAAGGATGTGTTTGGAGTGAATTTTTAAAAGTATTTTAACAAATTATTTTTCATAACTACTTTAAAAGAAAATAGTATTTGAAACTACCCCCACTACTATCTCTACCACCACCACCGCCACCACCATTGTCGCCGCCGTTACCACCACTGTCGTCGCCGCCACTACCACCACCACCCATTGCCGCTGTTGTCCCCTTCGTCGCTGCCGTCCCCACCGCCATAATCGCCACTGACCCCCACCCCCACCACAAACACTACCTCCCCCCCACCCCCCACAGCCACCACCATCACCGCCACCACCACCGTAGCCGTCGCCACCACTCTCTCCACCGCCCCCGCCATCGCCACCCCCCACCCCCACCACCGTCGCTGCCACCACCATCGTCACTGCCGTCACTACCACCACCATTACCGTCGTCACACAACCATCACCACCGCCACCCCACCACCACAGTTATTGCCACCCATTATAACCATTACTGTCTCCTATCACCATTGTTGTCGCCCACCACCTCTCATCCCCTATTACAAAACGATGCTTAAATTCTATTATCTCTTCTCTATGTTGTAATCTAATTTTATATATGAATACAAAAATATATATTATTTATCATTTTTTGTTACTCTGTGCCTTCAAGTACAAACAATAACTAGTATATATATATAGTAATATGTTGATAGAAACATAATTTTAATGCTAGCACAATTTCTAAGATTTGAGTTATTAATACTAATATAATTCTCAATTTAAGATTTGTTAGTTTTTCAAACAAGTTTTGACTAAATATAACTATTTGAGGTATTTTAAACAATGAAAATCAAAATAGACTTATCCTCAAATAAATTTTTTGAGTGTATTTAAGTCCAAATAAATCTACAAAAAAAAACCGACCGACCTCCTTAACCCCCAAAATAAATTCAGATGTCCGATTTCCATCAGTAGACCCACTTTCATTGTGGATTAGTGAATGATTGGACATTATTATCAAACCTTGGACCCATTCCCTACGCCAACGTCGACAGGTTATTGCCCACTTGCATCATGGGCCTACAAACAAATATCTCATTTATACTGTTCGATTGACGAGACGTGCAAAATTCTAACCCACTGGCTATTGGTCGATGTTGTTTTCTATCTGATGGGTGGTTTTAAAAAACGATATATCAAATTAGATATAATTATAAAAAAATAATATAGAATAAAATATTTTAAAAAAAAATACACATCTGAAATACAAAGATATAAATACCCATTTTATAAAATTTTCTTTTCTAAAAATTGTAATAAGATATTTATCTTAAACACTGAAATTTAAATTCGTTTAATTTAAAATCTCTAATGCACCTTAATTCATGCGTATTTTGTTTTGAAAAATGGTTTTATTTTAAATTATACTTATGCATTAAATATATCCTAATTTTATAGGAGAATTTTAATATTTCGTTTATTTTAGGATATATCATTTGTTTGAATTTCAATATTTGTTAATTATATTTTATATAATTTGAAATAAAAAATTATTTACACCATAACAAAAACGTAACAAATTCATTAAACAATAGTGTAACAAAAACAGTGTAACAATACACTATAACAAAAATAGTGTTAAGTGATTTTGTGCACGTGATAACAAATTCAAAACATAGATCGACTGTTTTGAATAAAATTATATGAAAAAATATATTTGACAAAATGTAATAGAATAATATTTTGTGTAAATGTCTTGTTACACTGTTATTGTTATATTGTTATTGTTACACTGTTATGGAGTTCGAATATTATATAATTTGAAAACAAAATCACTTTTCAAAAAAAAAAAAACAAATAAATTAAGGTGCATTAAATATAATTTGAAAATAAACCTATTTTTTTTTTTAAAAATACGCATGAATTAAGGGAGGAGATAAAAATACTGAATATTAACATTCTCCCATAAAATTAGGAGATGTTTAATGCACAACTTTTCAAATAAAATACACATAGATCAAGAGAGAATATAAAAATTAGAAAAAAATATGAAAATTTTAAATAATATACTTGAAAACAAATAAGTATCAAAATTAAAAAATTTTTTACTCTATATTTTTGTCTTAGTACTTTTTATATAATTAACTCCAATATAGTTTACCCCGTTCCGGTCTCTTTTTTCTTCTTCTCACATAACGATTAGCAAAATCATTATTTTGAAAAAGGCAAAATATATGGTAGGGTAAGTGACAAGAATGTAGGATTCTTACGCCACAAAAATATAAAATAAAATCAGAACAAGTGGCCGCCTGTTCGGGGAGACTATGAGCAAAAAGTAGTGGATGGCAGTTAACAAGACCAGAGCAACCGACATGAGTGGTCTGGGTACCGTCTGAACTTCACACCTTATTAAAGATTTGAGTTCATATTAAAATTCAGTAAATGATTGTTATGTTAACTTATCTAATTCCGTTATTGAGAAAAATAATAGGCACGAATAAGAATCTTATAATTCTATCAGTTAGATCTATCGGAGGTAATCTCTAAACGCACTCTTTTACTCCCACCCATATGAAGACAAAAAAAAAAAATTAATAAGACCACAAATTGTTAAGATGGATAAGTTACGATTTACAATCTAGTGTACAAGATTTTTACCATTACAATGTTTAGAATAAGTGAAGTGTATGCACACTCTTACATGTACTTGATTATTGATCATTGCATAATCATGGGATGATCAATTACACAATTTAACACTATGGTCACCATTTTTTATTAATAATTCTGTTAAATATATTGAGTATAAAAACATAATTTTCAATGTGGATGAAAAAGCTTGACCTCGTACCATTTGAGAATGATTCCTAATAAGAATGACACGACTTAGTCATTTATTCTTGCAACATATTATATCATAAATAATTATTTTTCATTCTAATGACATGCTTTACGATACAATTTTCTCTAATCAAATGCTTACATGTCTCTCCTAATCCACTAGTCTTATATAAAGTCTACCCGAATCAAATCCTAATTCTAGATTTTGCTATACAAAATATTCTTTGTTGATGGGTTCATTTCAATTTTATATTGTACACAATTATAATATAATATTCACTGAATATATACCGACATGACCTATGATTAATATTTTTGTGGGAAAATATCTATGTACGTGATATTAATGATGAATATATACCTACATGACCTATGATTAATATTTTTGGTGGAAAATATATATGTACGTGATATTAATGATACGCGAAGGCTACGTAGGCATATGAGCTCACCACCAACTAACTTTAACCAAAATTTTGCACGTGGCCATTAAATCAATAATTGAATTTTTCTTTCTTTCTTTTTTGATTTATTGTTCACCAAATATTTAACTAATTACAAAAAAAAAAAAGGTATAGATGCCTCGAGAGAGTCGCTCAGGCGGATTGATTAGATGAATTTAAGCTCAACCCAAATCATAAAACGTCCGGTTTGAATTTAACTTGAATGTAAGTTTAAGCCAAATGTTACAACCCTAATATTAATTTAAGCTAAATGTTTCAACCCTAATATTAATTTTACTTAAAATTTTGAACTCAGTTATATGGTTTGCATTTAATACTCAAGTCGAAATTAATTCAAGATAGAGCAATGTTATTGAGATCTAAAAATCTGATCTAATTTGCTGACTTAATTTATTGCGACATTTTGATTGACTGTATATCTTATCAAACATTGAAACTTCGTGTTGATTTAGTGATTCTTATTAAGCCACATCATTATGTTAGCAAATTAGGTCAGATTTTTAGGTCCAAATAACATTACTCTTCAAGACAAAAGAGTAATACTATTGAGACCTAAAAATCTAATATAATTTGTTCACTTAATTCACTGTAATTTTTGAATTGACTGTAGACCCCATCAAATATTAAAATTTGGTATTAATCCAGTGATTTCTATGGGTAAGGAACCTCTTTCTAAATAATGGGTCTACTTACATTTATGATTAGAGATATAATATCGGGTAAAATTAAGCGAAAATATAACTGAGAGAATATTAATTAGCTTTATATACAATTTTTTTTTTTTTTGTCCATACTCGAATCAAAGACTAAAAATCTATGAATTTGACTCGGATTGGACTTTAGTTGTCCCATCCAACTTGCACTAGCCATGCAGAATTAAGACATGCAGGAGTAAAAGAAGTTCTACAAAGCCATCGCCTTGACCAGCCCAGGTGCAATGGACACAAACCTTGGTCTCAATAGAAGCTTCTTGACCACGTGTGAACGATTCTCACCCACAAGATATTCCACGTGGCAACACATGGACCCTCATTTGTTTTTCCACCCCATATAAATGCCACTTCAGCACACCAATCCTAGCCATGGGACAAGAAGGTTGAAAAAAAAAAAAAACAGAGGCTAAATGAGTAATGAGCAAGGTGGTGGTGGAGAGGTGAAGTACAGAGGCGTTAGGCGGAGGCCGTGGGGGAAGTTTGCAGCGGAGATACGCGACTCCAGCAAACATGGTGCTCGGGTGTGGCTCGGAACGTTTAACACGGGGGAGGAGGCTGCGAGAGCTTATGACCGGGCTGCTTATGCCATGAGGGGTCACTTGGCCATCCTCAATTTTCCGGAGGAGTATAGTTTGCCAAGTGGTGGATCATCTCGTTTCGCGTCGGGTTCATCCTCTTCGTCGTCAATGCATTCAGAGAGAAAGCAGGTATTTGAATTCGAGTGTTTAGATGATAAGTATCTTGAGGATCTTCTTGGCTATGAAGAGAAAAATAGCAGGAAAGAGTGATGTATACGGCCATTTGAGTTCAAAAGATTAAATAACCATATATTATCACCAACTCTCTCTCACACCCTGTGTATAGCGGTGTGTTGTTGGGGGCTGGGGTTGTGAGGTCTACCTTGTCCTTTGGATATCTCATCAATGCTTAGGTGTCTGCGAAAGAAAAGGATTTTTTTTCGGTTTCTATGCCTGCGGATGGATTCCTTTCAATAGTTTTTAGATGTGAAATTCCATCCAAAGATTCCCTAGACTTTATGCTTGTTGTCAATCTGTAATATTGCTACTCAGAATGATTATCGCAAAAAACGTTCTCTTAACAAATTGCAGAAAACTACACATTTTTTTATCGTTCTTAAACTCCGAATGAGTGGTACAACGATCCTAAAAAAAAGAAAAAAAAAAAAAAGAAAAAGTGATACAACAATCCGAATCAACTGTATGCGGTATTGTGTGTTCTGGGTTTCTCACAACTTTCAATTGCTTCACTCCGAATGAGTGGTATACACATAGACACACTATCTCAAAACAAGCAATGTTGGACAAATTGAATCAATCCAATCAACTTACCAACCTTGTCATTTCCCCTTTTTCAGGCCCTCTTAAATTGTTGAACGATTAAACTTTATCCAAAACAAATAGTACGCTGTTTCTATCACTTTTTTTGTCAGCTTTATATATTGGAGGATAAGGTTCTGGCCCATAGTTGGTGTAGAGAGGGCAACTTGACTTTTTGTTAGTCATTTTGTTTAATGATTAAGAGTGTCTGAGTTAATTATGTATATTTAAAATATTTTCCTCTCTAATTTAGTCAAAGACAAACATTTACGTTGGAACTATGTGTTTATAAGGTGTAAATTTTTTATGATGAAACTCCAAAATATTGTTAAAACTCAAATTTAAGATATTTATATTTACGACTCATACCTATTACTATTTGAATTCACCCTTTGTCAATCTTTCTTCTTGTCTTAAATGAAAGTATTTTAAATAGCATACAAATTTCTGGTTGGAAATGGGATTTTGTGTTTCGAGTTAAGGGACCTTGTCCTGAGATTTAAATGAATTTAAAGAAAATTTGATGTCACATCACTTTTGCTTGTCATCTTTGTTTGCAGCAAGCGGATGTATAGCTTAAGTTTTTTGCTTAATTCCTTAAATTAATCCTACTTGAAACAACTTCTTTTTGATATGCAACGACTCATCACAATTATTTACCCCCCAAAAAAAAGACAGATCATTAGTATAAGTCTTATATATTATTATAAAAAGAAAGTCTAAATGAATCAAATGCCCGAAAGAACAGTAGAATAGAATTCTTAATACAACGCTTAGTGACATATAATAGATCAATCAATGTCTTTGGCAGAGATTAACCCCAAACACCCTCCCTCTCTCTCTCTCTCTCTCTCTCTCTCTCTCTATAGTGGGCTTGTGTGATATTCACATCTACATGTGGAATTCTCATTGGTGCTTATAATTCTACAAAGAAAACTATTTTCTTTTATTCCTATCCTGGGTATGCTTTTTGAAAAGAGTAATACTATTTAGATCTAATGTATTGACATAATTGACTATAAGATTTGAATTGATTATGTTCACTAACAAATAGTACCAAAGAATGATTTTTTCAGTCTCGTACAAAAAATTAGTACAAAATTAGAGCAAGGTTATGACTTAATTTGTGCAACAAACTAATTATATCTAACTCTTTTCAAACTTAATTTATGTAGTGATGGGTAGGCCATCCTTTCATCTATTTTTGGAAAGATTGTAGTGGGAAGAAAAAGACAAGTTTGATTTGTCAAGGGATATATTATTGCCCCTACATTGAGATGATTAGGAGGTTTGATCTTCTTTACAAAGTTTGAGGGGTCACTTGGCAATCCGAAGTATAATTTGCCAAATGGTGTTTTGCGTCGGGTTCATCCTTACCTCGTTTTAGTGTGAAACGTCATTGTTTTATGGAACATTACCTCTGTTGTACAGCTGAGGATCTAGACTCCTCCAATTCTTATCCTCTTTTAAATCTAAATTTAAATTTGGGTAACCCAATTATTGAATAAAGAAATCCTTTTTTTTTAGCAACTTTTTGCTCTAATCTCTCTCTAAAAGCGCTTGGAGATAGGGGTGACCAGAGATTTGTTTTCTGATCGTCTTCACACCTTCCCTGCTTCCACTGTTTCATGGAGGAGGATCCAAGGATCCCTTTGCTTCGATCACTGGAGGAAGATGACCATCTTGAATGGAGTACAAAGAAGATCAAGGAGTATCATATAGCTCCTGAGGACGATGAAATGAGAGTGGCACTAGAACCCAATCGATTGGAGGAAAAAGAGCAAGTGACGGTCGATGTACTAGCGACCCCCTTGGTCCTAAGCCAAGGAACTATTTGGATGCACTGATGGAGGATAAAAACGCCATCTATTTTAATGAAGTCGCTTATGGGGAACTCTCGGATGATGAGGAGGAAGAGATTAACAGTAAGGGCCAAACATAAGATGGTGAAAATGATAATTCTGTGATGTCCAAACAGGTAATTATCGACACCTCAGACGAATCCTGCCCCCATATCAGATTACCAAAAAGAACCCTAGATCTTATTCGGAATAGATGGAAAGATGGGTTGCTTGTTAAACTTCTTGGAAAAAACATTGGGTACAAGATGTTGTGCATGAAGGTTAGAAATATTTGGCAATTGCACAGTGATTTTGAGGCAGTTGACCTGGATAATGGCTTCTTCTTGTTTAAATTCCAGTCCAAGGAAGATTGTTTCAAGGTTTCCACAAAAGGCCCATGGATCATTATGAATCACTACCTGACTGTCAGAAAATGGGAACCAGATTTCATTCCATCAAGGGCCTCTGATAATACCACGGGTTTATGGGTAAGGCTACTGGAGCTACCACTGGAATACTATGACAAGAAAACCTTATTTCAGATAGCCAAGGCATTGGGTAAGCCAATTAAAGTGGATATTAAGACTGCAACCTCAGAAAGGAAAGTTTGTTAGAGTGTGTGTGGAGAGAGACCTCAACAAACTTCTAATTTCTCATTACAGATTGGGTTTGAGATTATTTAGAGTTAAATATGAATGCCTCCAGGATATTTACTTTAGTTGTGGAAGAGTGGGCCATATGGAAGCCTTCTGCCCCCATAGTCAAGAAAAGATTCCTCCGATGGCAACCAGAATTCAAGCTCTAGTCGAAGAAGACAAGAGGATGGAAAGAGCCGTTACCACTAACACACTTCAACGGTCGCAAGATAGATTGGATACAAATCAGGTGAGGCCCAATGGGTCGAAAGGTGTGGTTGAATTTGGGCCTTGGTTAATAGCTTAACCCAGAAGAAAAAGAACACAAGGTTTTAGAAACCAGCTACCCCAGAGTGAAACGGTCCACGCCAATAGATTCCAGGCCCTCCAAGAACAAAACCAAGAGACAACCCAAGTCCAAGACGTTGGTGTTGAGCAAGCAAACCCAACCCAAAGATTTAACCCAAGACATAGGTAAGGCCACCACACCGGTTCTAGAAAGACCTGGGAGCAGTTGTCAAATTCGAATAAAATTCGACCCGTTACACACAACCCCAAGAAAGAAGATCTGAGGGGTCAGAGCTGGTGCAGAGATCGAAGGGCCACAACAGTGTCTTGGAACACGACTCAAATCTAATGGATCTGGAAGTTCAGGGGAGGGATTATAGAGAGTGTGTAGGGCAGCAGGCCATTAATGAAGATAGGCTCCTAGCCTGTTACACTGAACCCTCTCCATAATCACCCCCCATTTCCCTCAACTGTTCTTCTCCTCTTCTGATCATCTCAACATACTAGACGCTGATCTTCTAAACTTGAAACCCCCAGATCCTGGTGTATGTAGAAGAGGAAGGAATAATGGAAAGTCCCCTATTGAAGACTTATCACCTTCAAGTCAATCTGATGTGATTGCTCTTCCATTTGGAGGAGGAGAGCAAATGGATTGTGCTAGTTCACTAGTTAATGGAATCAACCCTGCTTGTGGTGGAACCGTGCAAACTCAGAGAAGCGAAGATCCAAACTATGGTTTTCACACCGAGACCAGCAATTCCAATCGAGGAATTTAGCGAGATTGCTAGGCATAAAATTGATATTGATGAATCCATTCCTCTACCACATTATTTAATGATGTCTTCTATGAAAATTCTTGTTTGGAACTATAGGGGTGTAGGTAACGAGAACTTTAGAAGGGTGTTCAATGATATACTCAGGGCTCATAAACCAGATGTGGTGGCGCTTTTAGAGACAAAAATACAAAGTAATCAGATGGGGAATTATTTCGACCAGTATAGGTTTTCTGCTTCTAGGTGTATTGAACCAGATGGAAAAGTTGGGGGTATTTGGCTCCTCTGGGATCCTTCCAACATTTCTATAACTACAATAGGCATGTCGAAGCAAGCTATTCATGCTACCATTGCCAAAATGGACTTTGATGAATGGTTGTTTTTCGCAGTCTATGGGAGTCCCAATGCTGCCTGTAGGGATCAATTGTGGGATGATTTTAGTTGCACTGGTGACAATTATAAAAGCTCGTGGATGGTGGCTGGGGACTTCAATGATTTCGCTTGTAGTTCAAAAAGAAGAGGAAGACAGGTGAACAATACACACAGGATAAGAAAATTCAAAGATAGAATCAATAACTGCGGTCTTATTGATCTTGGATGTAGCAGGCCCAAAATCACTTGGAACAATAAGAGGAAAGGCCTTGCAAATACAAAAGTTGGGCTAGACAGAGCCTTAGCGAATTCAGATTGGACGGTGCAGTTTCCTAAGGCTAGTGTGAGGAATCTTTCGAGAACATATTCAGATCATTGTCCTCTGCTGATCTAGTTGAAAGGTAAGTCTCTCCCCCTCCTCATTCTTTTAAATTGTTTAGACTGGAAGCCATGTGGATGTTTCACCCCAATTTTAAAGACTTGGTTGCTTGGACCTGGAAAACCAACAACTTTTCCCTTTTAAAAGCTTCTACTAATTTTAA